TGTCAGAATGCTAAAAAAAGTTATTGAAAGGACAATAGCATCATTTGCAATCTTTTTAGGCTTCTCTGCTTCCTTTGAGCTTGGGCTGAAATCCTCAAGGTAATAAGAAAAAATGATTTCCCCAGTTACAATATATTGCTGGGAGGTAACACAAGGTATTCTGGTGGCATGATCTTGAGTAGACAATTAAGATTCCTCGCCTTTATCAAATAGTTGCTTCTAGCAGAGATGAAGAGTACTAGAATCGTTTTATTGATAGGAATCAAGGCAGCCGCCTGAATTTGTTTTACTCTCCTTGGGGAAATGGCAATGGCAATCATCACACTGAATACATGAACTTCAAAAAAAAAAAATACATTAGCTTTCTGTTGTCCAAAAGTAAATGTAGAATTTCATAACTTTTGCTATCCTTTGGTTCCTTAGGACCCATTCCAGAAAAATTTCAAGCACTGATATCTTGCTTATTTTCTATTGTGTATACAGATACATTAATTTATGCAGTTCCTCTGTTATCTCCTTAGTCTCCTATATTCCAAAGGTTCAATCACTCACATTATTTCTGCTTCTGTTGTACATACATTTTTTAAAAAGCTTGGTCTTCATGCAGTTAATTACATCTCAAAATTACTTTTTGCATTCTGTACTGTCTGCTTGTATTTCCTTCATACAAGTATGTATTCCTTCTTGTTTGGATATGATTTTCATGTTCTGAAGGAAGCCTTTTTTTCCACCTGTAATAGCTTTGGGACATTTATCATAAGAAATAATGGCAACATCTTAGACTTAGTGGTGCTTTTTATGACCTTACTAGTTTGGTACCCAGCATTACCCTGGTTATTTAAAAAAGTCAATGTTTTAATTGTACAAAATGCATAAGCCTGTGTGTGAACTACAACTCACATCATGCCAGGTTAGCCCCCTGAAACTTCATCAGTTGTTGAAGTTTGTTGGACAAGTTTGGTCTAGATGCATCATCAGTGGGGCTCAATGTGCTCTCTGGCTGTAGGGTAAACTACAGTTCTCACTATGGTGAGTCAGTCCCCTCAAACCCCTCCAATAGGTTTACTTAGTCATGGAGGGTTCTGTGTGCCAAGTTTGGTCCACGTCCATTATCAGTGGAGGTCACAGTTCCTTTGGTTGTGGGTGAACTACAATTCCCAGAAAGGAAGGTCAGTTCCACTCAGACCCCCTCAAGCAATCAAATTTCGGCATATGAGGTAGATGTGCCAAATTTGGTCCAGATCCATCAGTGTTTGGGTACAGAGTGCTTTCTGAATGTAGGTGAACTACAACACCCCCAAATCAAGGTGAATTTTTTCCAAAAACATCCAGTATTTTTTGCTTATCATGGGGGCTCTGTGTGCCAAGTTTGGTCCAATTCCATCTTTGATGGAGTTCAGAGTACTCATTGATTGTAGGTGAACTATAAATCCCAGTACCTACAACTCCAGAATGCCCAGGCCAATTCCCCTCAAAATGCACCAGTATTTGGGCATATCAGATATGCATGCCAAGTTTAGTCCAGATCCATCATTGTTTGGGTTTCTTAGTGTACTCTGGATGTAAGTGAACTACAACTCCTACAAATCCAACCAAAGACCTCCAGTATTTTTTGTTGTTCATGGGAAGCATTCCAAGAGTGGTTTCCAGCAATTTTGAAGAGTCGAGAATGAATGACAACTTTTTGAATGTGCCGTTCCAAGAAGTCACTTGGACACTAAGTTCCAGGAAGGGCCATTTCAATATTGAATGCAACAGCATGTGTTTGACAGGCAGGTGCCCTGCTCAATGTTATAATCTGTCCATCTTGTGCTACAATAATTTTGGAGGTTGTGACGGCGCAACTGGCGCCACCTGTACGTAAAACTTTAAGTTGAAAAGGTTTGAACTGTTGTAACATGTCCAGACATGCCTGTCTACCTTGTAAATGTATAGTTGAATTCATTGGTTATCCACAGCTGTCAATCAATGTTGTTTTACATCAATTGGCTTGCTCCCCCAGCTCAATTGTTTGGCTCCACCCCTTCCTAGTGAGAAGAACAATACTTTGGTCTTCATTCTTACCACCAAAAGCTCAACAGATGGTCGTGCGAAAGGCTTGGCTCAAAGCCCTTGGTCAAGTCATTTCTTACCACCAATTCTCAGGTTTATACCCTTAAGATTCAAACTTCATGCCCAGCTCATTTGGACGACGTTGAGGAATCTTAAGCGCCTTCAAACCAGTCCTTTGGAATCAAGAGGAAGACTTTGTGCCTTCAATATAGGCCAGTGGTTCTCAACCTGGGGTCCCCAGATGTTTTTGGCCTTCAACTCCCAGAAATCTTAACAACTGCTAAACTGGCTGGGATTTCTGGGAGTTGTAGGCCAAAACACCTGGGGACCCACAGGTTGAGAACCATTGATATAGGCAATTGGACTGGGGTTGTGAATGTTTCGACTTCATAGCCATTGAGAAAGAGGGAACTTGGAAGCTACTCAGCTGGAAAACTCCTTGGACCCAAGACAACCAGAGACAATAATGTATGTTTTCTTTACCCTTTTTGGAACATCAAGTTTAATGCCTCAGAAAGATAACTCTTTGTAAACAATAAAGCCTATTTCGAGTTATCTATAGTGTCTTGTTGATCCTCGTGAGTTCTAGTTCTCTAAAGGAAGGCAAGAAGCAATCCCCTGGGGGAAAGTTGCCACATCCTTGTTTTTTCACTATAGGTCCCCAGGCAGCGACGGCACAGAGGTAGTGGCAGCAGAATGTCCTCTGCCCGAGGAGATGCAAAATTCAACTTGGCAAATTTCTGTTCAGAATTTAATTTCGAGTTTTCTTATTTTGATCCAACTTTTTAATTCTCATTATTTAATATTGTGCATTATTTATTTATTTTATTTTCCTGGAGCAGCCACGGAGCTCCTGGGAAATGCACATGTCGGTCTTCGGGCCCCGCAGCACACAGGTTGGGAACCATTGCTGTAGAAGAAGTTCGTGACCTTTAAGAGAGATGCAGGAATATAGAAGACAAATCATCCCTCCATTTCTCCTCAAATTATTCAAATGAAATGCTCCTGTGGCATAATCCCGGTGAAATGTATCCACCTCTAACTAAAAAAGCTTACTCTGCAATATTTTCCTTTTAACCCACTGACCCGCATTTCTCCTTGGCAGCTCCATTTTCCCAGCCAGGTAGTAGTTTCTGTGTAGCCAATTGCGACCGTATGTCATTAATACCAATTTAGGGAACATGAACATTTTTAAAGCCCATTGCCAAGCACTGTATCTATATCTTTAAGAAAAAGAATCATAACCAGAAAGTAGGATTAATTCCCGATATTCAGATCTAGTAATGTAATACAGAGTGGCCTAATGGAGATAACCAGTTGATCTGAGCTACAGTTCAGCTCTAATTGTCATAACCTAGCCCTGGAATATATAAAATAATCAATAATGCAAGGCCTTCCACTATGTGCAGAGTACATTTGACTCCAAGCGATGTATCCATAATGAATCACAGCACATTTTAGATTAAAAGCAGTACTTCCAGTCAAAAGTTCTTTCCAGGCAAGCTTTACATACAGCACTTCTATGACAAATGGAGAGGTCTTTCAATTTTTCTTTCTGCTATACTCATTTTATTTAAAAATATCAAATGCTTTCCATCTTATTTACAGAAATCATAAATAGATGAGCCCATAAGCACTTTTGAACACACTTATCAAAAGTACACACAAAATGAAATATCCTGGAGAGAGGACCGAAGTCTAATCACTAAAGTCACTTATGCTTTATATACCCCTTATACATATAACTGAAGGTAATTTTATACAATATTCAAAATAGAAGAGGGGGGTTGTATGAAATAAAGTTTGTGTACACTGTATAATCAGAATGAAAGGCATAACTATCTCAGCCCCCCCTCCCCCCGAATAGTTTTGGATTGTTAAGTATTTCAGATTTCAGAATTCCAGAGAAGGAATGATCAACCTGTATTATGTTAGAAGAACATTTCTCACTAACATTTTTTAATTGAGCTCCCCTTGCAAATAGCCTGCTCCTCCTTTTATCTCACCCGTGTTTTTAATTATTTTAATCATTTTATTCTGCACATGTGGCCCGTCCATTGTCACTGTGATTGCAATTTTATATTGCTAATGTATTTATATGTTTTTTAATTAGTATTATGTAATTATGATGTTGTTGCTTGTTGTTTGTGTTCTTGGTTTTACTTTGTTGTAATTTGTTGTTTGGGCTTGGCCTCATGAAAGCTGCCTCGAGTCCCCATTGGGGGAGATGGTGGCGGGGTATAAATAAAGATTATTATTATTATTATTATTATTATTATTATTATTATTATTCATTTTAAATACTGTATTGTTCTTTCATGTATTTTTGCACTTCAAATAAGGTATGTGCAGTGTGCATAGGTATTTATTCATGTTTTTCTCAAACCACATTTCAGCCCCCCAATAGTCTGGGGGACCGTGAACTGGCCCTTAGCTTTAAAGGTTTGAGGACCCCTAGGTTACAGTATCAGATATTGCACTCAGATTCTACTCATAAGCTTTCGAATGCATGAGCAGATAGCTGGTTAGACCTTTGGTCCTATCTAACATGACTGTTCTTATATTTAACCTGATGGCAGCATATCTCAACTGTGTAAACTCTGGTGAAGGGCTCCACCACTGGGGAAAATAAGCCTCCCTTTTACACCCATAGAAATGTTCTCTCAGAAATTAAACATCAGGGGGCAGAACTGGGCCTAGGATCAAAGCCCGGAGTAGCTAGCCCATTTTTTCTATCTGTGAAACAGGATCAACAATTTATCTCCTCTAATTTTAGAAGAAACATGGAGTCAATAAATGCTATCTTAGTATTTTTAATGCAAAACAAGCTACAGGAATTACACTATGTTACTGTTTGGAAGCACAAGGCTAAACATTCTATTAGCAGCAACAAATATGAAAAAGTTTCCACGAATAAAGTATACTTTATTTAGAAAGAAACCTCTTACCTTAGATGCCAATTTGTCCACTAAAGCAATCATTGAGTTCTTGAAAAGGGTAGCAGCCGTCAATGGTCGCTTTGTCACCTCGGTGATGCTCAGTTTGCCTTCAGGCCACATCTTTTTCAACACAGGGTTGGAACTACAAAATCCAGGGGAATTGATTAAAAGGGCAGACATATTGGGACAGATCTAATTAAACAAAAAATGAATATTGTCCTCCTACCTGTTATACATCAAACGCTTGAAATCTTGAAATAATGTGTCTTTATTCTTATCAATGAATCCAGTGACTGAGTAGCTGGTAAATATGAAAGAGATGAAGGGATATTGAACAACAATGAACTTTCAGTAACAACATCAACAGTTGCCTACTTTGAAAAAGAGAAGCTATTATGTTTGGAATCAAGGGAGCCACTTTCCTTCCTTGACATAAGAAGGATATATCGTAACTCCATAAGTATTGCCAAGCAACAAAGGATTTTCTCCAGACATTTTCTCCTAAGTGTTTATTTATTTATTTATTTATCGTATTTGTATACCGCCTTTCTCAGCCTGGAGGCAACATAAAATACCCGCCATGTGTTGCTATGGCCAACCTTCCCTCCCTCTTTCTCTCCTTCTTTCTTTCTTTCTCTCCTCTCCTTCCTTCCCTCTTTTTCTTTCCCTTTTCTTTCTTCCTTCTCTACCTGTTTCTTTTCTCGCTTCCTTTGCTCTTTGGTTCCATCCTTCCTTGTCTCTTTTCTTCCTTTCTTCTCTTCCTCTTTCTCTCTTTCTTTCCTTCTCTCCTTCTTTCCCTCTTTCTCCCCCTCCTTCCCTCCTTCCTTCCTTCCTCCTTCTCTACCCTTCTTTCCTTCTTTCTCTCCTTCCCTCCTTCTTTCCCTTCTTCTTTCCCTCTTTCTCTCCCTCCTTCCTTCGTTCTCTGCCTTTCTTTCTTTCCTTCTCTCCTTCCCTCCTTCTTTCTCTCTCTCCTTCTCCCATTCCTTCCTTCTCTACCCTTCTTTCTTTCCTTCCTTCTCTACCTTTCTTTCTTTCCTTCCTTTTCTCCTTCCCTCTTTCTCCCCTTCCTTCCTTCTCTACCCTTCTTTTTCTTTCCTTCTCCTTCCTCCTTCTTTCCCTTTCTCCCTCTTTCTCTCCCTCCTTCCTTCTCTAACTTTCTTTCTTTCCTTCTTTCTCTCCTTCCCTCTCTTTCTCTCCTTTTTTCCCTTCTTCTCTCTCGCCTTCCTTCTCTACCCTTCTTTCTCTCCCTCCCTCCTTCCTTTCTGTGTATGTGTTTTGTGTATGTATATGCATATATGTGTGTGTGTGTTTGTGTATATATATATGTGGTTTTGCGCATGCGTTGTAATGTTTTTTGTTTTGTTTTTTGCTTTTTAAGTCCCTTCTGCTGTGTTTTTCGGTGTTTTTATGAGTGTTGGTCACTCGTTGGCCTGAGAGGTGTCTTATGTCTAAATTTGGTGTCAATTCATCCGGTGGTTTTTGAGTTAAGTTAATCCCACAAATGAACATTACATTTTTATTTATATAGATGTGTGTGTGTATGTTTATGTGTATGTGTGTATGTATGTATGTGTGTGTGTGTGTGTGTATCGACATATAATATAATATAGAATATATAATATACGCAGTAATATAATGACACCAGAGGTAAGAGAGTAGCAGAGGAAATTCTTCTTTCACAGCCATGGATGTATAGTGTACCATTCGTAGGAGTTAGCTGTATTTCCTTTTATTTTTTAGAAAACTCCATCTCTCTACTTTCTCAGATGCAGTTGTCATCTGTCTTGCCTGAGTTCTTACTCAGCAGCACATGAATCCTTCACCAACATTATTGCTACATCATAAGACTTAAGAAAACTGGACAGCTGCTGAAACAAGAGGCTCAGTGTGAACTCTGAGGTGGGAAGTCTCTGGCCTAAAACCCACAGCTGTGTACTTAACAGATACACAGGCCTCTGTCTTCTAAAAAATCTGCATTTTTTAAAAAAAGTGTTAAATGTGTATCTCACCACATAGCTCAACAGAACTTTCATAAGAAGCAACAACATGTGGGAAAAATACCAGTCTACTTTGCAGACTTGTAAATACTGTATTACAGAGATTATTTATTTATTTATTTATGGTATTTATAGCCCGCCTTTCTTAGCCATACGGTGCCTCAAGGCGGTTTACAGATTGGCATAATTTGATGCCAGGCATTCATAAAAGTGCAATTAAAAACAATCAACATGACAATATAAAACATATATAAAAACAATTAAAATTTATTTAGTTAGTTATTATTTAAAGTATTTATATACCACTTTTCTCACCCCTAGGGGGGACTCAAAGCAGTTTACACATAGATAATGGTAAAACATATAATCATTGGTGTCATCCCATTAAAAACATTACCCAGTAACATCGTCTGGCCATTCCATGTTCATCATTCCTAGTTCCGTGTTATCTATTCCGCTGCATTCTCAAAAGCTTGCTCAAAGAGCCAGGTCTTTACTTTTTTCTGGAAAGTCAGAAGGGAGGGGGGTAATCTAATATCCCTGGGGAGGGAGTTCCATATTCTAGGGGAAAGTCCTGTCCTTTGTCTCCGCCAATCGCGCTTGCAAGGCAGGCAGGATCGAGAGCACGGCTTTCCCAGACTATCTTATGCTCCTAGATGGTTCATAGGAGGAGATACATTCGGATAGGTAAGCTGATTCTACTCTGATCATTAAAACCTCTCTCTCAAAACTTCTAGAAAGAGCAATGTTAGCCTCTATATGATATGGTGTAAACCAGGCATGAGCAAACTTCGGCCCTCCAGGTGCTTTGGTGTTCAACTCCCATAATTCCTAACAGCCAGTAAGTTGGGAGTTAAAGTCCAGAACGCCTGGAGGGCGAAGTTTGCCCATGCCTGGTATAAACAGTACCATTTCCTTATTATAGGTGATCTAACACTTCCCTATAGAATGTGGCCAAAAGCCATGCCTAGAATATGCTTTGTATCTAGGGTATTTAAGGTTCACTATAGGTAAATGTTGTAGAGACAAAGCATATTCTCCAAAACCTTCTGTGTCATGATATGTTTTTAGTATTGAGAATCAATTGTTTTATATGACAACTAGCCGTCCCCTGCCATGCGCTGCTATGGCCCAGTCTGTGTATATGTGTTTTGTGTGTGTATATGTGTGTGTATATATGAGGGGTATTTTTTAAGTAAGGTCCGTTTTGTTGTAAACACTAGTAGTTCACGCGCATACCGCAAAGAGCACGTGCGTCATGTACCGGCATGCCTCGGGAACAACTGTGCTCAGTTTCCGCTCTGTAGCTAACCTGTACGGTTCTGTTCTGTGCTTTAAAAATGTTTAAGACTATCAACTCACCCTCCGCATGTGAGGTTCGCTCAGTGATATGGTTTTTGTCAGCAAGGAACCTGCCTGCTCCAGAAATTCATTGACAGATTTGTGAAATGTACGGTGATACTGTTATGAGTGAAAGCAAAGTGCGTAAGTGGGTATGACACTTCAAAGATGGCCGTGACAACGTCCATGATGAGGACCGCTCCGGTCGCCCTTCTTTGATTACAGTGAACTCTTGGTTATCGGAGCAGGCGGCAAGTTTTTATGAAGAGGATATTTTAAAATTGGTTCAGAGGTATGATAAGTGTTTGAACAAACTTGGCAACTATGTCGAAAAATAGAATGAAGTATGTGCTTTCTGAAAATAAATGTACTTTTTTGAAATAAACTTTCGTTGTGTACTTATGTTCAAGCGGACCTTACTTTAAAAATACCCCTCATATTTGTGTATATGTGTATATATGTGTGTTTAAATATATATGTGTGTGGTTTTGCGCATGTGTTAGTGTTTTTTTTAATTTTTTCTCTTTTTAAGTCTCTTCTGCTGTGTTTTTCAGTGTTTTATGAGTGACAGTCACTCATTGGCCTGATACATGTATTGTGCCCAAATTTGGTGTCAATTCGTCCAGTGGTTTTTGAGTTATGTTAATCCCACAAATGAACATTACATTTTTATTTATATAGATTTTCTGTTTTAGCGATTTATCACTTTTAATCTGTGCCTTTTAATTAATGGTTTGTATAGTTTCATTTCTATATTAATGGTTTATATAGTTTCATTAATGGTTAATATCATTTTAAGCTTAGCTTTTTGTATGTTTTTAGTTTTTTGTGTGTGTCAGGAGCGACTTGAGAAACTGCAAGTCGCTTCTGGTGTGACAGAATTGGCCGTCTGCAAGGACACTGCCGAGGGGACGCCCAGGTGTTTGATGTTTTACCATCCTTGTGGGAGGCTTCTCTCATGTCCCCACATGAGGAGCTGGAGCTGACAGAAGGAGCTCATCCACGCTCTCCCCGGATTTGAACCTGCAACCTGTTGGTCTTCGGTCCTGCCGGCACAGGGGTTTTTAGTGATATGTGGATTTACTTGCACTTCTTTTATTCCAGTGTGCCTTCCCAGAATAAGGAAACTCCCAGCAATATGTCCCTAAATGCACTTTATCAATGATCTAGGATTGCCTGCATGCATTTCCTCTCCAAAATTCTATCCTAGTTATATATTTCACCTGGTCATGCTCAGCATTTTAAAAAATTTAATTATTACATTTGGCCCAGCCATAGGTTTTTAAGCGTTGTTGTGCTATTGTTAATGTTTACTGCTTGTTTTTTGTTTGAGTTTCATTTTATTGTTTTGTATTGAAGACAATTATCCTGGGGAAAGTGGAAGGTAAAAGGAAGAGGGGCCGACCAAGGGCAAGATGGATGGATGGCATCCTTGAAGTGACTGGACTGACCTTGAAGGAGCTGGGGGTGGCGATGGCCGACAGGGAGCTCTGGCGTGGGCTGGTCCATGAGGTCACGAAGAGTCGGAGACGACTGAACGAATGAACAACAACAATTGCTGTTTTTGTTGATGTATTGTGGGCTCGGCCTCATGTAAGCCACACCGAGTCCCTTGGGGAGATGGTAGTGGGGTACAAACAAAGTATTATTATTATTATTATTATTATTATTATTATTATTATTTTAAAAACTATCTGGGAAAAATAGTCCCCCCCCCATTCTTGGGGGGAAAATACCTAAAAAATATAGACAATGACCAATTGAAGGAGATACACACTGTGAAGACCCTAATGTTTTTGAACCCCAGGGAAAATCCTAGATTTCAGCACAGTTTAATATGGGCTGCACAATTACTGCAAATCTGTGAGCCAATTTGCTGTTATGATCTCTTCCAGTAGCTACATAGATTGGCAAAAAAAAAAAAAAAGCGCAAAAGTAAAACAAAAGCAGCCAGAAGTCCATTTGGCACTTTAGAAAAACAGTAGGAGCCTTGGAGGGCTGGACTTTAAATGGCATCCCTTGAATAGTGCTACTCCGCAGAACCAATAATTTGGCCTATATAGTTGAAGTGCAATGTTTTTGGGAGCCACAGTTCTATTTCGTTCCTGTCCTGGATTTAATCTTGATATGACCTTCCTTTCAATTGTGCTTTTTTGGAGGGGGGGGGGGGCAAATGCTCCCAGTCAGTGCATGCTTTACCCTTACTGCAGCACATCAATATGTTAAGAAGAATATTCCCATATTTGTTATTTTGACAATAAATTGCAGGAAATAAATGATTTAGCTTCAAAGGGATACAAAGAAAGCAATATGAAAGAGTTGCTTTGCCTAATTTGCTCTGAGTGCAGTTTCTTTATTATGATACAAACAAATTAACTGTGACAAACAATATAATTTCAGTAACAGAACTTCCAAAAATCTAATCTGCATATTATTCACAGAGGCTTAAGGGAATAGCAGTGTAAATGAAAAAAATGTGTGCAAGAATATATTAATAGGCCATAGAACAGCAAGTGCGGGAACCACACTTACATAACATCTCCAGCGTAGTGCTTAATCCGAAAGTCTCTGTCAAATTCCAGGTTTTTGTCCGTGGCACAAAGCTTAAAAACAAATGATTAAAGAGTCAATATCATAATAAAGTTGTTGAAAATTGCCAGACCTCGACTCTAAAGCTCCTTCTCAAACCTATATGGAATCTATAGCTACAGCTACAGGTTTGGCAATGGTTTGCCTCTTTATAAATGTTACTGTTATGTAAGGTATTTATTTATAGACAAGCCATCTATACTACAAAACAACATTTTCTTTTAAACTCAGTGATACCGCTGCCGTTATATTAGCAGAAACGGCCAGGCAAAAAAGAAATTTAAGCACATCTGTTTTAATTATTTGTTTACCAAACATTACAATCAAACACAGAGATTGTCTGAAAGGCACTACCACCCTATGAACAGATAGACAGGGAGATTACAAATGGGTTGTTGTCATAGGATATAGCAAGCAAAAAGGACTAAGTGTGACTGGCACACTGAAAGATTCGCAAGCATTGCCAGGGACTTCAGCTCAAGCGGAAATGGGTCAATTGACTACAGTTATTTATTTAATTTATTTACTATATTTGTATACCGCCCCTCTCAGCCCGGAGGCGACTCGAGGCGGTTTACAATCGGCAATCAATGCCCCACAAAATAAAATACAGTCAAAACATTACATATAATATAAACCATATAAAAGCAATAAAACAATTAAAATCCTAAAGTACAAGTCCTCAGTGTCTCATCATTAAAATCATTTTCTGTTGCATCGTCCAATCGTTCCAGTTCATCCTCCCTGTTTGTAGAGCACAAAATGATATGATGCATATCGTTCTACTTGACTTTCCTCTGTCCAGTAGTGCCAGGGCTATAGTAAAGGTAAAGGTTTCCCCTGACATTACGCCTAGTCGTGTCTGACTCTAGGGTGGTGGTGCTCATCTCCATTTCTAAGCCGAAGAGCCGACATTTTCCATAGACACCTCCAAGGTCATATGGCAATGCATGGAGCACCGTTACCTTCCTGCAGAAGCGGTACCTATTGATCTACAAAGGGTATTTTTTAAGTAAGGTCCGTTTTGTTGTAGACACTTGTAGTTCGCGCACATACCGCAACGAGCGCGTGCGTCAGGAACAACTGTGCTCAGTTTCTGCTCTGTAGCTAACCTGTACGATTTTGTTCTGTGCTTTAAAAATGTTTAAGACTATCAACTCACCCGCCGATGAATTTCTGCAGCAGGCAGGTTCCTTGCTGACAAAAAACCGTATCACTGAGCGAACCACTTTTGGTGGGTGAGTTGATAGTCTTAAACATTTTTAAAGCACAGAACAGAACCGTACAGGTTAGCTACAGAGCGGAAACTGAGCGCAGTTGTTCCCGAGGCATGCCAGTACACGATGCATGCACTCATTGCAGTATGCGCGCGAACTACTAGTGTCTACAACAAAACGGACCTTACTTAAAAAATACCCCTCGTAGCTGGGCCTAACAGTGGGCGCTCACCTTGCTTCCCAGATTCGAACTGCCAACCTTTTGGTCAACAAGGTCAGCAGCTTGGCAGTTCAACCTGCTGCACCACCAGGAGGCCTATGTCAGGGTTATACAGGGTGAGGCAGCATAACTTCCTTTTTTAAAATGTGCGCCATTCAGTCGGTTAAAGACGTAGCAGAGCGCTAGTGGTCTCGTTCGAGAGGCAGGAGTATAAATTTTTGTCCTGACACAGTGCAGTCACCATCATGCGTTGGAACAGTGAGGAGCGTGCTTTTGCCATTGAGGCCTACTTTTCGAACGGATTGGAGTGGCCGGCCCGCTCTCCAGATTTGGCCCCTTGTGATTCTTTTCTATGGGGTTTTTGAAATCCCGTGTTTATGTGAACCATCCAAGGACCCTACAAGATTTGAAGACCAACATCCAGGAAGAAATTGCCAACATAACGCTATGCTGGCAAGAGTCATGACAAACGCCAGAAACTGATGTACTCAATGTATGGAGAATGGAGAATGGGGGACGTCACCTACCTAATTTGATCTTCAAAACTACGTAAAACAAAACTTTAGGTATGCGCCTACATTATAAAAAAATTCTGATTCATACAACGGGTTTTATTAAGTTTTTAAAAAAGGAAGTTATGCTGCCTCACCCTGTACATAGAGTTAAATTCGGAAGAAAGTCCAAGTCACAGCAAAAGTGTCAGATGAAATACCCAGTCACATATAGGAAAACAAGGAAGATGGCAAGCCAAAGCTGCTTTATACAAAAATAGAACGTTAGTCCATATAACTCACTACAGTTTATTCTGACTGCCAGTGGCAATCCAAAGCTTCTTTCCCAAAGTTACTAGCTGAGATCCTTTAATGTGAGGTATGGCAGAAAGAAACTGTGACTTTGTGAGGTGTGACTCTCTGAAACACAACAATAACTTGTATGCATTTGTAGAGGGAAATTAAGAGTCAGCAACCTTATTGAAACCCAATAAATTTACTTTCTCTGTATACAGAGGCGGCCCTAGGTAATTTTCAATGGTAAGCAAACAGTATCCCCCCTGCAACCAATCACTGATATATATTTTCTGTTCGTCGTGGGAGTTCTGTGTGCCATATTTGGTTCAATTCCATCATTGGTGGAGTTCAGAATGCTCTTTGATTGTAGGTGAACTATACATCCCAGTAACTACAACTCGCATATGTCAAGATCGATTTCCCCCCAAGAGTGCCTCAAGAGCACCCCTGGGCAAAATCAACTATACTGTAAATGCTTACTTTGCGTAATGGGTTGAGCCGCCCCCTGTCTGTATGATAAATTTCTTAAAAGGAGAAAACTATGCTAATTGGAGGGGGGAATTGACAAAACATTGCAGAGTACTGGTTCTCTTTCTGTTATTCTGTCAAATGCTTTCACAGTATCTATATTATTTGTCCCTTTGTTATCTGCAAGTACAGAACCTGAGAGACCTGTAATTCCTGGACTATCCTTCTTTGAAAATGATTACCCACCGTATCCTTCTTGACAAAATGTCTGTTTTCTATTTATTCTGATGGATAATAGATAGTAAGATGTACACTCAGTGGCATACTTGGGTCACTAGCAAACAAACAGGGGGTTTACCAAGTTGCCAGTAAGAGAGACTCAAAGGAAAATGATGAATGGAAAAAATATTCAGTGATATATCTCTATTGACTGCTTTCCAGTTGAAAGTGGAGCAGAGGACACATTTACCATAATCTATGGCATTGCTACAACATTCAAAAACTGTTAGATCAGTAGACCTGTGGAGTATACATTTTGTGCCTCACATTACACTTTGAAAGATTCTCAGTTCCTTACACAGAAATTCTCTTTATAGGAAAATTGAAGGGAAAAAAGGGCAAATTGGAGTGGTAGGAACGAGGCAGAATTATAATTCAAGATTTTTTTTAAAAAAAGCAGAAGACACAGCACATTAGAATTAGACAGAAGCAGAACCTTCTAGTTTAATTCAGATTTCCATGTTGTGCTGCACAGATCCTACTATACATCCAAAATAAATAAATAACAAGCAGATAGTGTATTGGATATGCAGTCTGAAAAACTAGGCCATAAGTATGTAGGGCATAGCAGCCCCTCAGAGCTTGTCTGCCCCAATGCAGAACCCTATATGATTCACGGGGAAGCAGCGGAGCATTAACTATAACACTTAGAAATCAGTATTCCTATAATGTATCAGCACAAGGTGCTTGATGTTCTTCAGAAACACTGGTGTCAACATTTCCAGTCTCCATTGTTGCTTTCAAAAGACATCTAAATTCCTGGGAGACACAGCATCAATCTCACTTAACTTTGAAGAATATGATTAGTAAACCTATGGAGAAACCCAACATTCCTCTCTAAAACATCAGAAAGACAAGATAATGCAGCAGTGATAAGGAATGTGCATTATCAAATATAAGCTTGTATTCACATTGTGATCACAGACAACACAGAGAAACTAAGCTTTCACGTTAAAAAAAAAGAGTTAAAATGATAAAACCCTTCCTCCAACACTTATGAAAATGGTCTGAAAAACATGTAGGACATGTTTGGTAATACTTGGGGGACATGCTTCTCTACATATGTTCATCTCCTGATCTAGGAATATCCCTCCAGAGATCACATTTCCAAAAGACTTTGTAGAGGAGTACATTTGAACAGGGTTCCAGGAATCCACCTGTTTCCACTCCTCAGAGGTTTAAGCATCTTGTGTTTGGCACTACTGAAAATAATGAGACCCAAAGCCCAAAGATATTGAACAAAGCACTAGGCATCTCAGTGCCCATATCTTCTCTACACTGATTCTGATATCTCACAGGTTTGATTCTCCTGCAGCTTTTACTGTTGGACATCTTTTCAAAAGCCATTCCCTTGTTGGAAACAAGGAAAAAAGATTACAATCTGATACTTTCTGATGTAATTCAGATATATGAGAAATGAGAACTTTCTTGTCCTAATTTTCAGTGGTTGGAAAACTAAGGAGACCACTCTTGATCCTTTAGCTTTCTCCCTCCCATTGAACAGGAGCAATATCAGTTCAAAGCTCTGACTTCTCTGCTAGAGAGAAGATCTTTTTTCCTTCAGGATCAGGTAGGAAAAAAAAGGAATCTCCCTCCAAAAGAGAAATTATGAATACAAATTAAAATGTAACAATGCTCCAAGCAATAGACTAACATTAAAGGTGAGAAAAAGAAAACGTAGAAAGCAGAAATATCCCACACAGCCAAATTTCTTTCTCTACATGTGTCTATGATTCAGAACCAAATATAATAGGCAAAGAATTCCTTCTTTAGTTTCCAAAGAAAATAAAAGATCAAAATAAAGAAATAATTATTTGGCTTCTAGAAAACAGTATCCCTTGAGCTCCCTGTTGGAGAGAGAACATCTTCCACCAAAAGCTTCTCCTGCAGAAGCCTAAGCAAATTGTTGTTGTTGTTCATTCATTCAGTCACTTCTGACTCTTCATGACCTCATGGACCAACCCACGCCAGAGCTCCCTGTCAGCCGTCACCACCCCCAGCTCCTTCAAGGTCAAGCCAGTCACTTCAAGGATACCATCCAT